AATTGCGCGGGTGCAAGGACGATGAGCTCGTTATGCCGTTTTTTATGGTCGACATTTGGCGAAATTGCCTGGAGTGAAATTCATGCACATAGAGAATATCGCCTACTAGGTTTCCTCGACCACAAGGACATCGCTCGACCAGTCGCCGTCAACATTGTTCATTCCAGCTTGTATTTCTTATACATCGATCGAGGGCTTGCTGCTGCCGACTAGGAGACTCGCCGCCGCCGACGTGACATTGTTGTTGGCATCAATCTTGTTGGCTCATGATATCATCGACGGACGCATCGTCGACCTTTGATAAGGTTGCCAAAAATTCCCATCGCCCAAGCCAGCAAGGCTGACTTTCGCTGAAGAGAGAGGCGGACCTTTTATGTACGCAAGGTCCGCATAGAAAAACCTACGTAATATGAAACAACAAGGGGGGTATTTCGCAAGCATACGAACACCGCATACAATTTATTACACCAACCATGATAAAGGATATGGCAGATACTTTCACACATCTTCCATATTGACATTCGCAAAAATAGCCTGCCCACCGGCAATAGAACACTGGTTGAATGTTGGAAAGTGCAGCACCTTCATGAGGAAATGTACTGGTTGCTAATTTGACAAAATGCACAAATGTGCAAGCTTCATGTGCCTCACCATTTGCCGCACCAAGATGTGGCATCACTCAATATGCCTGAGGTTTCCCTTGAACCTTAAGCATTCTACAACCAATGGTTGATGAGTTTTCTACGTCGAGGACAATCGGCATCCTGGTGTTTAGGAGTTGGAAACTCGACAAGGAGGAAATGAATGTGGCCTGATTTTTTGCCAGCTTCGTTTGCAGCGAAGTACTCCGGCTTCGTCAAGGACATCGTTACGCACTTCATTCTCTAACTCGCCCTTGAGACACTTGCGAATCCAAAGATGAATATGTACCCCTTGCGTTGCTATGCGTCCACTTTTTGTCGTCGTCGAGGGCATTTGCGTAACCGACCAAGCGTAGTAAGTCCAGCATACGACAGATTCGACTACGCGCTTGGTTTTTAGGCATGTGAGGCATCAATCTACTCCTCGCCAGTGATGATCGTTCCGCACCGTTAAGCCGGAACTTGGCTTGATGCACGCGTATTTAATGTTTGTTTGAGTTGCACTAGAGGCGAACCTCGGCGAGCCGAATTTTCAGGGGTGGTACTTTTATCGCGCATTTGTTTCTGCGCCGTTGTTAGTCAGGTTGCCGTATGCGTTGATCGAGATCAGCATCTTCGAACGCCAAACAGACTGCTCTTTGCCAATGAAGCATCTGTGCAGCTTGTCGACGTATGGATGACTAGTGATGAAGCCACAGCTTCTGTGCAGCTCTATCGTATACGATTTCCTTTCCCCATGTGCTTATGCATCAATAGATTTTTCAAAGCTCCAACATGTTATGCATTAGCTCGCGCGGATCCTTCAGCATTGCAAATATTTTTCTGGCAACAAGAAGGTTGTTGACGTAGAGAAACACCCAGCAACCTACTTAGTTGGCACCGACTTTGAAGTAGGGTAGTAATTTTACCTGCGCTTGCTCCACATTTTGCTGATCAGCTCATCGTCGAGCGCAGAGTACCACAGTGGGCTCCGTTTAAGGCTGTATATGGTAAGCTTTTCAGCACTTTCACATGCGAGATGTGCCAACGTTTTAGTGTAAGGGTTGCTCTATTGACTGCTTCCGACCCAACTTGTTATGCAATAAGGTGTTTTTCATGCAGCTATATGGGATACAAATCAAATGCTGTCGCGTAGGAGGGAATAATGTGTAATATGACGTAGCTGCAGACGGGTGCATGCGTCTCGTCGTAGTGGGCACCATAGATTTGCATGAAGCCTTTCAGAACATGAATTGTATATGCTTATTACTCATTGTAAAACGTATTGGACTGCGCACTGCAACCATGACAAATTTGATTATAGTAGAAGTTATAGTTAAAAGGGCATGTTTGAGTCAACAATTACGAAACCCATTTCTGTAAAGAGAAACTTGAGCTTGTGACGACTAGAGGACTTTATAGGAATTACACAAGCTTGAATGCAGTAAATTTTTTATGAATGGGCTTATAGAGTGCGCTGGATAACGAATATTGAAAATGTGAAACTACAGAATGAATTTACAATAAAAATGGCGAGACTAAATAGGGCACATCTTAGCTAGGCGGGGAGGTTGGGCGAGGATGGCTGGAGAGGGTTGCGATTGGTGCGGAGGCGAGTCGGGGATGGTTTGGCTGACGAAATAGGCTGAACTAGATTGTCGAGTGGCCCTTGCGGTTGTATTCGCTAACGAATGCTACAGTAAGGATTTGTAAATCCTTACACTCTCCCACCTCCTAAATAAGGCAACCTTATACGTAGAAGAAGCCTACACTAGTGAGGATGACGTTGATCTTCAGCTAATGTAAATCCGACAGCTGACATTGCTTTCCAAAAAACTGAACAACGGGTTGGAATATGGACAGATGTTAATCTGACGGATGCGGGTGGCCTTGACCAAAGTGAACTGAAAGTTGGAATCTAGGCCGTAGATGAATTCAAATGTAGATATGGCGGTCGAAGATGATGTGAAATTGGAGGGAACCTGCTGACGAGAAATTCAATCGCTATGTAGCAAAAACAGTTGATTCTGATGGAGAGATCGTGTTCGTCCGTCGTGCTGCTGAAAGCTGACAGAGGTGAAAACAGTACCGCGCACTTTCCCCCCTTCAAGAAAACACTCCGAAATTACTCGCAACTGCGATGCAATAAAAACCAAACAGGACCAGGTGTTAAGTTACACTTTGAAAAACTTGAAGCGCTATGCCCAGGCGAAATGGCGGCGGTGTGAAGAGTCGATGACAAAAACCAGGTGTTACGTGCCCAAAATTTTTCAAGGGCGAACTAGCAGAAGTAGCCCCGAAACCGTGACGAAATAATCGAAGACCTCGAACTGTCGTTTCTTCTCGTGACGCCACCAAACATTTCGGCGGTGCCTTCAGCAGAAGCAGGTGGCAGTAGGTGGCGCGGCAAAATGTCGCTTGTAGAGATGGAAGTCCCGTCCTAAAATCTTCTGGCCGTAAAATCAAGGTGCAGCGAAAAGTCGTCGGTGAATGAGATTTGTAGAGAAGCGGTTTTCGAGAGTTGGCAATGGTCGTCGAAGCAGTAACCAAATCGGATTTGACTCCAAAAATATTATTGAACGTCGATTCAGTGTCAAATGACGTCAGCACCACCGGTGGTTTTGCCCAACTCGCCGAGCTTTTTGTCGTAAGTCGCCGAGGGCTCCAGGGCAGAGATGAAAAAATTACAGCTGTCTCTTCCTCCCCCCCCCCCCCCCCCCCCCTTCTTCACTGTTGCTGCTGCCTCCTCCAGTTCATTGTAAGTTGTTCGTACCCCTAAAAAGTCCGTCTAGTTCATGTGATGTCACCCCACGTCGGTGTTGCACGCGTTTAACCAAAAGCTGAAGAACTCCCACGAAATGGTCGGCGCTTCTCGTCGCGAACAGGTAAGTCCCCGAGTAAAACGTCGTAAATGCAGGGGCTGAAAACACCCCTGTAATTCCTCTGTTGCAGGTGCAGCTCTCCTCCGGAATCTTTGGGTGTACTATAGCCACCCACTCGGCCACTAGTAGTTTCCATCAGTTCACCTGACCCTAGCATGTGGGTTAAATTGAGAACCAGGGACTTGTAGTGAGTTATTCCGAGACCGAATTTCACGCAACCAAGTGGCATCAACGCCGTTGACCCCGTCGTCGAGCTGCCCCACGCGATGCTGCTTAACAAAATACCATGTTACTCTCACTGGCGCTTTGCAGATGTTTCACCAATCACTCGTCGCCGGCTCAGCCTTTGGGTTTTAAAAGCACTTGAATATTGTAAGTTTTAATACCTAAAGCTTTGACAGGCCACTCTGAAACTTCACCTGTAGCATTAACGATAAGATCAATAACATTAGCATCTAGAATTCCCCGAGGTGCTCCCACTCTCCGTTTTTATTGAAGAATTCCCCGAGGTGTTATTTAAACACTAGTGGGTTCTAGGTATTCCTACCGCTATGCTTCTTCCCATGCCCCTTTCTAAAAGGGACCCTTCAAGCGAAGTCCCCCAACGGCTCAACCGCACTACAAGGATCGAGGAATTACCCTCAACTTGACCAATTATTTTGCCATTTCACCCCCCAACAATTTTGCTTCCCACCGTTCACCCTGCGGAGAGTCATTCTACAACGGTGGGAGCTAGACTACAGGAAAAGGCACTGTTGTGTGAGTGATCTTAACGTTCCTTTGTGTTTGCTTGTGTTCTCTCTACGCGCACATTTACGGGGGGGATTGGCAAGAGTTTCACTTGTGAAGATAGTAGCTAGAAGTAGGAGCCATAGCTAGGAGAACCCTAGCTAGGCAAGAGACAGTTTAGGCAAAGAGGGGGTTTCACTAGCAGCAATGAGGATACATATAGCAAACCCTAGATGGGTTGTACTCACTATAGAGCACCCCACTACAGGCTAGAGAATAACATTCTGACACACCCCCATAGCCAAAGTGGGGTGTAATCAGTACAATGAGCAAGCAGGTATAGAGCAGGAGTTCACAAAGGTAAGTAAAACTAGAGTCATTCACAAAGGGCAAGTGAGGAGGAGGAGGCGAGACTGTAGGAGGAGAGGAGATAAGAGGCGACGACTGAAGCTGCAGACACACGGGCAACAGGAGTCAAACTGGCACAGTGGCTACCGGAACAGCGCCCCGGAATACAGGAGTAACTGGCTCCGCGGCTAAGTGCGGCAGACGAGCAACGGACCCACGGGCGACTGGCGCAGCTGGCTACGACTGGGCTACCGGAACAGCGCCCCGGACTACAGGTGCTGCTGACGACAAGACGGCAGCCTCCGCTCAACCTCCCCCGACCGTCCCACCCCCCTCTCACACACCCCCTGTTCGAACCCTAGCTCCACTCCCACGTCACCCCCCTAGCACCACTCCTTCGGCTCCCACACACCCACCCCCCTCAGCGGCAGCTGCAGCAGTGGGAGACAGAGGAGGAGGAGGAGCAGGGGACGGAGCACACAGCCAGCACCCCCATAGGCGCCACCCCCACACTCGCCACCCCCCAAACCCTAAAAGAGGCAGAATGGGAGGGGGGGAAGGGGCGATTCGGGGGCGATTCGGGGGAGGGCGCGCGGCTCCCCAGGGCAACGCGACGGGGCAGCGGGTGGGGGGGTCGCGCGCGGCTCCCCAGGGCGCCGCGACGGGGCAGCGGGGGGTCGCGCGCGGCTCCCCAGGGCGCCGCGACGTGGCTGCGGGGTCGCGCGCGGCTCCCCAGGGCGCCGCGACGAGGCAGCGAGGCCGCGCATGGCCCCCCAGGGCTCCGCGACGAGCGGGGGGGGCCGCGCACGGCTCCCAAGGGCGCCGCGATGGGGCAGCAGGCGTCGTGCGCGCTTCCCAGGGCGCCGCGACGGGGCAGCGGGGGCGACGGGGGGGTCTGCTGCAGGCGACGGGCGAGCTGCAGCAGGCGACGGGAGGGAACCGACGGGGGGAAACCGCCGCGCGCCTCGGGGCGCACGGCGGGCAGAAAACCGCCGCGCGCCCCGAGCGCGCGGCGGGAAGAAAAATAAGGCGTCGCGCGCCCCATGGCGCGCGACGGATAGGAAAGCAGCGGAAGCATCGAGTGGGGCCCACAGGCCAAGAGCGTAACCGCTCTGATACCATGTGAAGATAGTAGCTAGAAGTAGGAGCCATAGCTAGGAGAACCCTAGCTAGGCAAGAGACAGTTTAGGCAAAGAGGGGGTTTCACTAGCAGCAATGAGGATACATATAGCAAACCCTAGATGGGTTGTACTCGCTATAGAGCACCCCACTACAGGCTAGAGAATAACATTCTGACATCACTAGCAAAGATTGCATTGCAGAATGATTGAACAAGCAATGGCAGTACTGACTACATCAGAGCCTAGCAACCTAGCAGGGAAGCTGGTCGATCGCCAGCACAGCAAGGTCGACAATCTCCCAGCATTGCGTAGACGCACTTCGCCAGCGTTGCTGAGGAGCGACCCGCTAGCAGAGCAAGTCTGCGACTCGCCAACACTGCACCAAGGTGGCTTGCCAACATTGCAACCGTAGGTGACAGTAGCGCAGGTACGCACCCACTTCCGGATGCGCGGCAACGGTCTAGCATGTCCTCTACCGTTGCGCAGGTGCCAAATCGGCCAAATCGCTCCATATCGACTTCGAGATAGCAGCCTGAGGTCGCCTTCGCCATCGCTGCCTCGACGATGGTCGCGCGCCTCCGTTGAACCTCGTCGAGGATATAACTTGGTCGACCGGGTCGACCACCCACCGTCCTAGTCGACGACCTCCTTCGTTGACCACGACTCCTGTCGAAGACCACCCTGGTCGATGGCCCGTCCGTCGACCAACTCGATCTGCTGCGACCATCCAACTCCCCTCGTCGATAGCTCCTTGACAGTCCCGTGCAAGTCGACGGCCACCTTCGTCGACGTGCCCCGTCAAAATCGGTCGCTGGCTTCACGTCGACTGCGGCTTCACAGCGGTCCCCTGCAGGTCGACGAGCCTGCTCGCCCAGGCTGGCGTCGATCACTGCGTACGGTCAGTTGCTTCTCCCGCGCACCCGACCAGGAAGTCAGCTTCGCCCAAGCGAGGGCGCGGCCAACACCCAACTCCTGTTAGAACTCCCCTGCCACGTTTACGCTTGAGAAACCTACCCGCACGGCAAAACTACACGGAGAAAACTCATCGCCAGCATGCACCCAACGTGTGAGAGTACGACGGCTTATGCTGGCTTTGCTAGCTTGCCTGGACTTTATTATGTTATTACTAGCTTAGCTTTATTTTATCTTGCATGCTTTTGCTTGATTTCCTAGATTCGTTGCCTTTACTATAGTTATTATAGTTGTAGGCACCGAACTAGGTTGAGTGCACCGAATTCTAGGCTTTTCGGTTGCCACCGAATTGCCTTCTACCGAATTCGGGAAGGACCCGTTTGGGACGCTTCGCGACCCACGGAACCTTCTTATCACACCCGGGTTATTGCCTTTGTGTCGAGCCTATATATAGCCTCGCCTTGTACCCAGGTGAATCATTCAATAGAATCATATTTCCTGAACCACATCCTCACACTTGGTACTCAGAGAGGGCTTACACGCGTGCTCTTCAACCGCGTAGTTCCGGCCTTTAAACACCGTGGGGGCGACGACGAAGGCGCCGATACGGGTATGTAAAACCAGTTCCGCGCAATTTTTCTAAGTCCCCCTCGATTCGGTTTTCGAACACCCCTCAGATTTTCTGGTGGAAAGGTTGGAGTTTCGACCGTTCGATCGAGTTTCATCTCAACAGACCAGAAAATTTCGTCCCAAAAAGTTGGAATTTGGATTGTCGGATCGAGTTTCTTCTCAACGGCCGAGATCGAACGCGAATTTCGACTAAGGAAGATTTACGCGACTTACAGAATTTGTGCTCGTCGATTCTACAGTCAACTCGACTCGCAGTAAGTCGACCAGCACCCGAAATTCAATTATTTTCGTCGCGCTTCTTTCTGTAAATCGCCAAATGGAGGGAAAAAGAGATATTTCAGTACAGAAAATCGCGGAGTTACGTGCCGAGCATAAGCAGATACGTGCGGCGCTCCCACGACTCGAGAAACTCCTTGCGAACCAGTCGGCAACCGCCACAGCAGCAGCGGCAGCAGCAGCAGCAGCGGCGACACCGACAATTCTACCTGCGACAACGGCAGCAGCTACAGTTAACCTCGAAGCAGTGAAGCTGAGGCTACCAGAGGCGTTCGATCCCGTAGTTAAAGGGAACGACGTTCGTCGATTTGTAGCTGAACTCGAAATTTACTTCGAAGCCGTTGGATGCACGACCCCGACAGAAGACGCAATGCGCATACGGCTCGCAGCAACACTGTTACAAGGCCCAGCTCTAGAGTGGATCAACAACAGAATAGTCCAAGGCGAAGGGACGTGGGCGCAGTTTCGGGCAGCACTGATCGAACAGTTCGACACGTTGAACAGTAGCTACTACGGAACACGACGCAACAAGCCAACTAGTGGCATGGGGCGATTGGCACCACCCACGACTGCTGAACCGATGGAGAACGACGAGGGCGATGTGGAGCAGCGGCTAGCAAAAACTGAGACGTACAAATTTTGCGGCGCTACAGGACATCGTATCTTGGCGTGTTGGGAAATGAAGGGAAGGCGTGCGGAGCTGAGATACAAGAACAGTGCGGCACCCCCGAAGCAGAAAACGGACAACGTGGCAACTTCGGAGAGGGCGAAAAAAGGAGAATATGATGGCGCGAGTTTAAAACGTCACGACCAGCCGGCACCAGGGGAAATCGCCGAGACAAATGGAGACTCCGCGAAACAAGACTCTGCACCGACTGGGAAACTCCAGCCGTACACCCCGACAAGTAAGAATATTACTTCTCGTGGGTTTCAAGCCTTTATTAAGGGAGAGTCAGAAATTAAACCGGTACCGGGTAATATGGGGACCCTACTCCGGAGCGCTAACAAGGGTCGAGCGTTCCGAGGAGTTAATATTCTCTCCCAGCAGCTCTGTTTAAAGGCTCCCTGTTCCCCACAGATGAAGCCTACACAGCTGCAAAGGCCTAGGGGAAGGTTCCAGGCTCAAGAGAAGCTGTACCAGCCTCGGATAAATCCTTCTAACCCTACTCAGGTGATACCTGATATTGAAGCTGCATCTTCGAGCGCAGGACCTAGGGATGACATATTCGACGTACCCTACGATCCTATAAGCGATACCATCTACGGCTACTCGGAGCAGCAACAGCCACTAGTACTCGAGGTGATCTGCAACGGACGACGCCTCCAGACACTGGTGGACGGTGGAGCGTCCCACTCGGTGTGCGACCGCGGGACGTTGGAGAAAATTGAAGAATCCTTCGAAGAGACCCAGTTTACTGCAACGATAGTGGACAGTACGAAGCTTTCCATCCACGGCGAGTCAACACTACAGCTACTGATAGGAGCGTTATGGTGGAAGCTGACGTTGCCGATCACGAACATCAAGGGATTAGATTTCATCTTGGGGCGTGATTTTCTGAAGCGGTTCAACCCCGAGATCGACTGGGTCAACCGGAAGGCGTGTATCTACAATAACAGGAAACGTGTGAAGCTGCGAAGGTGGACGGATACAGGGGATACTCCTCATCAGCAAGCCATGGAGCAGCTACAGACAGCACTGACTACAGCGCCAGTACTCATCCTACCGAATCCAGACAGAGACTACGTGGTGGAAGCAGACGCTAGTGACCAAGCAGTCGGAGTAGTACTGATGCAGGATCACGGACGCGGTTTGCAACCCATCGCCTATCTGAGTAAGAAGCTACACGGAGCAGAACTGAACTACCCTATCCATGACAAGGAAGCCTTAGCGATAGTCACAGCCTTCAAGGCGTGGAGGTGTTACCTAGAGGGAGCCAAGACTACAGTTTACACTGACCACTACAGCCTCAAATACTTGAAGTCGCAGCCGACGCTCTCACGACGACAGGTGCGGTGGGTAGACTTCTTGGAGACCCACTTCCACTACGACATCGTCTACAAGCCCGGGCTACACAACAAAGCTGACGTGTTGAGCCGCCCCGGTCATGTAGCAGGCATCCAACTCGACGGGATGAACCCTCTGCTCAAGGGTCTATTCCAGCATGGGTACTCCGTGGACGCAGAGATCGCTACAGCAGAGAAACAGAAGCTGTTACAGTGGGAGAAGGACCTAGCTGTAAGAAAGGGATCAGGAAAGATTTGGGTACCGAACTATGCCCCGCTCCGACAGATCGTACAGGAGGAGTTTCACGATGTGGCATACGCGGGACATTTTGGGAGCAACAAGACGTTAGCGGGAATAGCAAAGTATTATTACTGGCCCCGGATGGCAACAGACGTGCAGCAGTTTGTCACTTCATGCGACACGTGCCAGCGGATGAAGAATAGCAAGCAGAAAAAAGTAGGGTTACTTCAGCCTCTACCCGTACCGGAGCAGCCATGGCAAGTTGTCAGCCTAGACTTCATTACTGGGCTTTCTTCGACCTCACGAGGGCATGACGCTATACTCGTGGTGATCGATAAGTTCTCTAAAATGGGACACTTCATCCCGACCAACGCCACGGCTACTGCTGAAGCAACTGCTCGCCTCTTCTTCGACCGCATCATCACCATCCACGGCATCCCCGCTACACTTATCTCGGACAAAGATCCTAAGTTCACTAGTAAGTTCTGGAGGGAACTCATGGGACTGTTGGGGACTAAGCTTGCGATGTCTTCAGCATACCACCCCCAGACTGACGGACAGACGGAGCGACTCAATCAGGTGGTTGAACAGTTACTGCGTACAGCTTGCAAGGACGACATCAGCCACTGGGATTCACAGTTACCGACACTTGAGTTTGCTTACAACAACGCGTCGCATGCGGCCACAGGGAAATCTCCATTCTTCCTGTGCTACGGACGGGAACCACTTACACCACAGCAGCCAACCACACCGGCACACGTCCAAGCCGCACACGACTTCGTCACCACCATGCAGCAGCTATGGGAGAAGACTCAGCGACGTCTCACCACGATGCAGAACTCCCAGAAGCAGTATGCCGAT